ATTGTTTAAAGTGGTACATTCTAAAGTTTCTTACTCAGGAGTTTACTTTTATTTTACTGGGATCAAATGTGTTATGTATAATTTTTATGTGGTTCTTAGAGTTGTGAAATCTGCCAAGAACAATTTGAACAGTACTGGGATGAAGAAGAGGAGGAATGGCACTTAAAAAATGCTATTAGAGTGGATGGAAAGGTAATTTTTATTTTTTTACTTTTTGTGGAAGTGTTACGGTTAATATTTTTTGTTGGGGTGGCTTACTCTGAAAGAATATTCATCACTTTTTTTGTGGTCCGTAAAAAAGGGATTGGACTTTAGTCACAGAATGAGTTTTGAGGGATCTTAGCTGTCATCTGGCTCTATACTTACGTAGCAGTTAGCATAGTTAAAGCTAAATTCAGACTTGGCCTTCAGAATCTGTGCTTTGCCTTACTATACTTTGATTTTGAATTTTTTTATGATTTAATCATCAAAACTTACTATCTTGAAAATATGTTACATGTACAAAGCAAATTTAACAAGTAGTCAGTTGTTATACTCCTTATATTGATTTTACCTCTTTTTGTGGCCAGTTTCTATCACCTTTGTAAAGACCGTTACCTTCTGGCATAAAGTTAAAAGGAAAAATCATTTCAGAATTGTCCATTAGAAGTTATGTAGGAAAAGATAATTTACTTCTTTCCTTTTTGCTTTAGATTTATCATCCATCATGTTACGAAGATTATCAAAATGTAAGTTCTTCTATTATTGTATTTCTTATATTTTCAGTTTTTTAACATCAGCAGTATTTTACTGTTAATATATTGAGCTGTTTGTAGGGCCGGGGATTTAGCTTGGTGGTTCCACTGCCTGCCTTGCAAGGTCCCAATTTTAATCCCTGATTACTCCCCACACAGAGAGAGAGAGAGTTGTTTTGTGTTTCGATGGAGCACTTAGATTTACTAAGTACTCTTACATAAGCAGTCTGCCATCTTTTGTGATGTGCAATTTAAACTTATAAGTATTTTTATTGTTTCTTGCTTCTGTTTACTTGAATATGATTTTTTTAGACCAGTAGGTGTAGAGGACTTTGGAAAACTGAAGTATCCTGATAGGAATAGGTTTCTAGAACTATGGGAAATATTGACTTTTGTTTTTTTTTCTCTTTTACTCCATTTAGCCATCTAACGCAGGTATATTTTTAAAATCACATATAAAATCTGAGAGTCCTGTGGCCTTAAAACTTTAAATTTAGCTTGGTGTGGTGGTACACACTTATAATCCCAGATAATCAGGGGGGTTAGGTGGATAATCAGATTTGAGGCCAGCCTAGCAAACTTTTTTTGGGGATGGGTACTGGGGATTGAACTCAGGGACCTTATACTTGGGAGGCACCACTGAGCTAAATCCCCAGCCCCAGCCCAGGAAACTTAGTGAGACCCTTTCAAAATAGAAAGGGACAGTGTAGTTCAGCACTTTTTGGGTTCAATCCCCCATACTACAAAAGAAAAAATTCTAATTGTTATATTTGTAGCTTCGTTTTTATTTTTTATGGTACCAGGGATTAAACTTGGGTCCTCATGCTTGCGAGGCAGGCAGAAGAAACACTGAGCTAAATACCAACCCTGTAGCTTAATTTTAAAAAAACAACGCAGTGGTTTCAAGTGTGGAACACAGTGATTGCCAATAAAACTGGGTTTGAAAGGTAGTTGGGGAGATATTTCTAGGTCACCCAAAAGAGGCTTCCTATGTGGAGAATTTAAAAAATCCTCACATAATCAAAATTGTGGTAGTCAGAAAATTTTCTGTATTTGTAGGGGTCACTATTTGTGTAGAGTGTAAATACAAAAGCATTTCGAATCTTTTTTTGGTCTGTATACTTGCAGTAACTCAGCTGTTAGCTTATCTACTTGCCAAGTATGTGTTGAATAACAGTATTTTATTATTTGGCTGCCTTTGTGGCATGTCTTTTGAGAGAGCATGTGTTTTAGGTGACTTTGTTGTGAAAACTGCATGTCCTTTCATGTGATAAACTTTGAATGTTCATCACTACTTATATTTTCATTTTGTAGACATCTTCATTTGATTGTACACCATCTCCCAGCAAGACACCTGTTGAAAATCCTTTGAACATTATGTTGAACATTGTCAAAAACGAGTTGCAGGAACCCTGTGAAAGTCCCAAAGTTAAGGAAGAACAAATTGATAACCCACCAGCTTGTACAGAGGAAAGCATAACATCCACTGAAATTAAAACAGAAAATGATACAGTTGAGTCAGTTTAAATAAAATGAGAAAGGTTTTTCTTTTTAAACAAAGCTGCTGTTGGATATAGAGGGTGAGAAATTTTTTTTATGTATATATAGACATATCTATATAAATTGTCTAGCTGAGGCAGGGCCTTCAGCTGTAATTTGGATAATAAATACATTTTAGTATTTGCATTTCCTACTGCCTGCACAGTTTCAGGTGCTCGTTGTGTGAAAGTTCTGTAGATGTGTGCAAATTTAATGAAATGAAAATGTATGTATAAAAATGTACGATTCTCACTTGTCAAACTGTAAATTATAAATAAAAATATTTTTGCTATACATGGAGTGTAATATTTATGCACACCATCAAATAAAGACAGTGTTTCTGTACTTTTTATTGGGTAAAAATGGAACTGAACAGCAACCTCAACGTGAGATTTTTTTTTTCCTAGTAGCTTTCCAGGATTGAAGAAGCAATGTGTGAAGTTTTATCCTTCTAAAGGGGATAGTGAGAGAGAGAACATTGTAGGACTTTTCTAACAGAAAAGCCAGATTTGAACATTTTTTAAAAAATAGGACATTTTTGCATACACATATATAGATATGTATCTTCAGCTACAGAGAACCATCTAGATGTCCGTTTTTGCAAAGTATCTAATGAAGCAACTTTTATTCTTGAACTTGGACACTGCTGCCATCAAGCAATTAACAAATATATTTAAGTACTAAAGGTGATTTTTTTTAAAAGATATTTTTCAAATTGTCAAACGATTTAATGCAGATGAACATACTTCTATTTTAAGTTACAGGAGAATCTGTAAGAATGTTCACTTGAAACATGGTTAACCTTTTTCCTTTGTTGGTTTTGATTTAATTAGATGGATACCATGAGATGTTAATATTCATACATGTAATAAATAGAATGATGAAGAAACATCTAATTTGTATGTCATTATTTCTTGAGTGACTTTGGAATGTGACTTGTCTTTCAACTGCTTTTAGCACCTTTTGGCACCTGTTATAGTACACGCAGGGATTCTGAGCGAAAAGATGAATCTCTCCATTTTCTGGAGGTAGGCTTATAAAACACTTAAAGACGTAGTTTACTGGACACCATGTGCCAGACACCAGCAGGCCTTCTATGTATATTTTCCCTGGTACTTAACAGATGGTACATGGTATCTGCAGTTCATGATGAAATGTGACCCACTTCAGAAGCTGCATGACCTGGCTTTATTTTAATAAAAGAGATCTCAAGATAAAAGGCATGCCAACTTTCTAGTGGTGGGTTAACTACAGAGGTGTGATACTTGAATCTCGCAGCATAACCAGAAGTGGACCAGTGATAGTAAGGGTAACTTTGAAGAACAGCAAATGGGAAGGTCTGAAACAATCTTTTTAAAGAGTGATTTTGTACAGGTGGGATTTTGAATAATTATGAACTGTCTTGGTCATGTGAAGGAATATTATACTGATGACCAGAGCTGCCGCTAAACATTTTAAGCAAAAGTGGACATTTTTTATCCACATTTAAGAGGCTTTTTTTTTCCTGCCAGGTGTGGGGCTCACACCTATAAACCCAGCACTTGGGAGACGGAGGTAGATCACTGTTGAGTTAAAGGCCAGCCTGGGCTACACAGTAAAACCCTCTGAAAAAAAAGTGCAAAAAAATTTTTTCCAAGAATAAAATGAAACATTTTAAGATTATCAAATGTTGGAGAAAGGCTTAGTAATAAAATTAGTATATCTTTACCTATGAACACTGCACTAAAAAACTGTTAGGATCTATGAATTCAATAGGTAAAATTTCCTGTTGGATATTTTTCTGGGGAGACCATCCACAGCTTTTACTAAATGCCTACAAATATATAGAAGAAAGAGAAAGGAGAGAAAGGTGGACAAGGACAGTCTCTGGGGAAAAAAGACATGCAGAAAGA